AAAAACTCTTTACATATTCTTGTTCTTCCAATCGCTCATTGATATATGTTGCAATGCATAGACACAGCAAGAGTTTGCCACAAAAAACGAACAATCATCCTAAATTAATACTGATGCTTGATCTATTTTCATTTACATGTTGTGTCATGATAAAAAATGTTTCTACTATGTGCACTAACACGAATCCAAGGTTGTAAATATTTTCGATTTCATTTTCTGTAAAAAAAAAAAAAAAAAGATATCATATGATATCATCTTACATTTTATCTTTCTTTTCAAACATTTCGAAAAACCATCTCGCCGATATAATAGAACGCATATTAATCGATGCTTAAAATATATGAAGTTTTTTATTGATACAGATTTGCGAGATATACTATTATTTAAGCCAGATTCTTGTTTATGTTTTGAGTTACCTGCATGATGCATTTAATTAGTAATTTGCTAAATATATAATCTGCACGTAGTCGAAATTGGTTTTTGATAAAAAGACAGAGTCATTTTTCTATTAATAATGCAAGTTTTTACTCATTTTGTTTGATACGAATTCTAAATATTGAGTCTTTATTATTATCAGTTTATCTCATTGTTTGCCTTTGAGTATTCATAATCTTCTTTGAAAACAAACTGAAGCCTATAATATATTGTTTTAAATACCATTGCTCTTTATTATACTCATAGGATTCAACAGATATATTATAATGCAGTGAAGAGTTTTGAAATTTTAAATAGTTTCAGTTTTAAGCTTTAGAGCTTTGTCCTAAGCAGCTTTGGGCTAGAAGAATAGCTTTTTTTATTATTGAAACAGATTGAATTTCATTAGAAAAAAAATAGTTTCAACTTCTTTTGAAATATCTATCAGTAATTTTACTACTTCATATATAATACTAGTATTTCAGTTTTGAAAATACTTATGAAATCGATAGCTTGTTACACTAAACATTACTCTAGAAAAAATTATTTTCCAAATACGAACGTAATTCAATGTTGTTTTATGCTAATTGTAACTCAAGTCGATAGAATTACACTAGCACTCGATATATTTTGGCTTTCTTTTGAATTGTATTGAATTTATCTTGATCACTGTTCGTATTACTTTGTAACCTTGATTATAGTAATCGAGGGCATTCATACTTAGAAACATCGCTAATGACTTCTTTGCGTTCTGATGCAGATTCTGCATCTGCCAGAAGTCGATTGTTGCTTTGGCGGCCAGATAGCTACTGTCACCAGTCGTCAAATATCCTCAAGTAGTTTATCTGCAATATTTAAGAAGATACTTAGTGATAATTTAAATTCTAACCATTTTTTCGGCGAAAGAAAAACTTATGACAGAGGAGTGTTAGTAGTCAAAGTGAAAAGAATAACTACTATACTGCAAAATATTGAAATCGCATTTTTTCTTCCTTGTTTAGTACTTCATTTATTTGAAACAAATTCGAATTACTCTGCATTAAGCCTAGGTGAAGTACTATGAAATGCTAACTGCTTTATTTGCATTTCTTTCTCTTAAAAACATCCATTTATCACCATAGACTTCTCATAAATTACATTGAAATGTCAGTTGATGCCAAGAATAATATTGACATATATCGTAAGACAATTCGTTTGCAATTAATATTGTTTTTCTCGTTATTGAAGTAGAGAATACAAAAATGAAAAAAGAGTTAGTCATATTAATTTCTTTGGAGCTAAACGAATAACTAACTAATCACAATGGCCACGTAACCGGGCTGCGCGTTTTATTTTCTGTCATGAGATCCACACACACACACAAAACAATGTACAATAAAGAGAAAAAAAGACAGAAAAGAAGAAAAAAATAGTAATAATAGCAACTATCTAAATTATTATCGTGCTGATGACGGAACAACTTGTGTAGTTAATCCAGTTGTACTTGCCACTGTTAAATTCTGATGTAAATGTAAGTTCATTCCTAATACTGATCGAACATCCCGACAAAATCTTAATGCATCAAGAAATGGAAGTAAGGCTAATAAACATGTGTCTGTAGGATCAAAAAACCATGACTTAACTAAAAGAAGAAGATAATTAATAATAGTCAGAAATTTAAATAAAAATGAATTGTTTACTAGGTATAGCGTTTAATGGATAAGAACGATAAGCAATAGGACTATTGTCTAATATAAATATTCGTGAAAGATCATTATTAACAACAGCCAAATCTTTTGAATATGCGCCAAATTCAAGTGTACAGTGTTGTCTAAAATATCGTCGTGAAAGAATATTCCGATTATTATCTAATCTTTCAGTTACAGCTGCACCATAAATTTCCATAGATGCTGTGAATACAACGAGATCATACCATTGGCTCACCTAAAATAAAAAATGATAATTTTCTTTCTTTGTTTTTTTTCTTCTTGTTATTTCTTTACTGTTTCAAGAAAATAATCCACGTGTGGTCGTTTATAAACAAAAAATCGGACTGGATGTCGTTCAATTTCAACACGAACTATAAAATCAGGCGGTCCTGTTGGTTTAACAGTAACAACCCGTGAAAGACCATCGTGATGTGAATGTATCAATGTTTCATCCAAATCCAATACCAAGATTTTTCTAGGAAGAAAATCTGTAAAAGACAAAGATATGTACAGCTGAGAAAAAATTTAACACATACGTAATCTATGAAGAGATAATGGTTGAAGAGGACAATTATAATATTTAACAGATTGAAATTGGATAAGCTAAAACAAAAAATTAATAAGTTATAACTATAAAAAAAACTTTTTTTTATCTAATACTTTTTTCTTTGATCCACGCAAAGTAACAAATATAAATGTCCAAACACCAAAAAAAAATCTTAATAATCTTTTGAACATTAACAAAAAATAAAAGAAGATTTTTGTATTTATTAAATAAATATAGTCAAATGCACGAAGAAATAAACGAAACATGCTTATTGTATTTCTTTCACTATTTGAATTTAAATGATTATTTTGAGTAAGTAATCCTTGCTGCTGTTGAACTCGAATGACTGCAGATGATGGCATTAGAATATGTAAAGTTTTTATTTAAATAGTAAACATTATTGTTTAATTGCAAAAATAGAAAAATAAGAATGAACTTGACGAAAAATACAAAATATAATACAGCTGAGAGACTAGCTAAAATAACCAATAGAATCTTAAGAAAATTGAATGGAGGTCACCATATGACAATCAATGGTAAACAGGATACCAATGAAAAAGACGAAGATGAAACCGCATGAACAAAAAGATAGAATAGATCTGAGAATGCCGTTTTTCTTCGTTAATTATATACTCAGTTTTAAGCTTCACTAATCATCAAGTTTTCAGAAATTTTTTTATAACAGAAAGAATTTCTATACTATTAGATACAAAACAAATTTGAATAGCTTCTAAGTGAACATTCAATTGTATGCACCATATGGATACATGAACGAATATTTAGAAAAAGAAACTACAAAGACACATCTGTTACAATGATTGTGAATAAATTAGCCATGACATTTAAAAGAAATATTTTCTGCTCTCTCTTTTCTTCCAGATGACATCTTCACCATCGCCATCTCACTGGGTTGAATCACTTTTCCCTCCTCAGTATTCTATTCGTGATTATCGTGCTACATTCCAACCTGATCACCAACGTATACGTCGTTATATTACTACATTATCAACATTCGATGCTCCAACGTTAGCAGCTATTTATGAACAATCGTATTTATTTACTCTCATTCAACGGTTAGCTAAACAAGAAGAAGAAGAAAAAATCAAAAGTAAGACAAAAACAAAAGCTAATCAAACCGAACCCGTTGATTCGGTGCTTGATATTCGTCTTATTCGAGCATTTCTTGAAAAGCATAAAGAAAAGGAAGAAAAAATTGATCAGACTGAAAATCTTTGGACATCTGATGAAATTTCAATTATTCGTTCAGCTTATATGAAAGTTCGTGATGATTGCCTACGTTTGAAATCTGAAAATGATTATTACCGAGAACAACTTGAAGTTTTTAAAAATAAATTTAATGAAACAAATCAAATATTAGAAAAACTTCAAGAAGAACATTTATCTCTCAAAAAAACTCACACACGTTGGACGATACGGACGAATTCATCGGAACAACTTCTTGATGAACAACGTCAAGAAAATAAAGAACTTATTGAACATATTGAAAAATTAACTGAACAAAATGAATTCTATCGTCGTAATCATTTACAAATGCAAACTAATTTACTTGAAAAACAATCACATATTGAACAACTTGAAAAAAAAATTGATCATTATGATGAAACAATAAAACGTGAATGTGATCGACGTATTGGTTTAGTTGAAAAACGTGCTCAAGTTGATAAAGATCGATTTGAAATTGAAAATACTAATTTACAAACAAAATTAGGTAAAGAACAAGATTTACGAAGACAAAATTTACTTGCATTAGATCAATTAAGAAAACATATTGCTTTAGCAAATCCACAAGAGAATGAACAAGCTTTATGTGATATTAAACAGGTCAAATATGTTTGAAATTTTCTTTTTTTGTATCGCCTAATCATATACAATGCAAAAGAAAACTGTTTTTCAATGTATATTGTAAACTTGAGAATTTTCATTTTTGCTTTCTTATGTAAAACTTGCAATGGAATTTATAAAAATGAATTTAGGTTTATCCAAAATGCATTGAGAAATCGTTGGAGTTATCTGTATTGTATATTGATGAATAATTTTCGGTTTTATTGATCGAAACAATCATACATATGTATACAATACTTCTTTTTTTATGGTATTTTTTATTGTTTAATAGATAAATTATATAAATGTCTGTACGCACTTGATTTTGATGTTCTATTTCAAACAACCACCTTCATTCTTTACTTTTTCTCTTCTCGCCTTTTTTCCTAGTATTGTGATTAATAGACAATTGTGTAGCAGCATATTCTATATAAACGAAGTGAATAAAATCTAGAAATACTATTGAGAATATAATGCATAATAATGCCATATATTATTCTTTTTAGATAATGCCACAAACTTCGCATAATCTAACTGTTAGTAATTATACAAATAAAACAATCAAATGTGTTTGTGTAGGTGATGGTTGTGTCGGTAAAACATCAATGCTTATATCATATACTACCAATACATTTCCACAGTCTTATGTACCTACAGTATTTGATAATTATTCTGTTACTGTAATGATTAATAATGAACCACATACACTTGCTCTATTCGATACTGCTGGTCAAAATGGTAAGAATTTTTTTGGAGAAGATTATAATTTTTATTTTTTCTATTCTTTTTTTTGTTCAAGGCTTTGAATTAATGCGTGCATTTTCATATACAAATACTGATGTATTTCTTGTTTGCTTCAGTGTTATGTCTCCAGCATCATTCAATAATGCTCTTAAAGTGTGGATTAATGAAATTCGTCAATCATCATCATCATCTTGTATGGCACCATTTGTTCTTGTTGGAACAAAAATTGATCTTCGTACAAATCTAGCTGATATTGAATTATTAGCTAAATCCAAACAAAAACCAATAACACGTGAACAAGGTGAACGTGCAGCAAAAGAACATGGTGCATATGGATATGTTGAATGTTCAGCATTAACACAAGAAAATCTTAAAGAAACATTTGATGCTGCTATATTAGCTGCACTTACTCCATTACCTTCTAAACGTGTTGGAATATTATGTTGTTGTTCTTAAATTTTAATTCAGATAACAGTGATGTCAACTATGAAAGTATTGACTGTTTGTGTATCTCATATTGGATAGTATTAATATATTCGTGTCTGATTTTTTTTCCACTAGACATAATACTCATTTCTTCTATTTATTCTGTATATTCGAGATGACTTTTTTTGTTCTCTTGTTGTTGTCAGTTTTTTGTTTTATACATTCTTACTAAATATATATATATATATTCGATACAAAAACAATATTGAGTCGCATTATTAATATTTGTATTTTCACGCTTGAAAGAACACGAACATATAATGTTTACAGGTAGAAAAACATGATATTTCAATCATTTCAAATTAAACATGGGACATAAACAATCGCTTAGATCAAGTCGCGCAATTGATGATTTAGCATTTGGTACGGCTCCAAATGCTGTAAAGATGGAGGAAGTCATTGAAGTAACACAAAAAATACCTGGAAAACTTTTTGGTGCTAAAATGATTGAAAACGATCCATCAATGCGTCAAATGCAATACGACCTTTTATCATTTGATGATACACTTCGACGACTTTTTCGACGAAAAAAAAAGAAACTTTCACAGATACAAGACACTACAAATGAATCTTATCAAGATAGACAATATTATGCTGAAAACCAAGAATATTATGATCAAGATGGACAATATTATGCTGAGAATCAAGAATATTTTGATCAAGATGGACAATATTATGCTGAGAATCAAGAATATTTTGATCAAAATCAAGAACCAATACCTGAAGAAGATGAAGATTATCTTTCATCTAGTTATGTCGGTGAAAATAAACAAACACCAAATAAAGATAACCAAAAGGGCCTTCCATGGCGATGCAAATATTGTACTGCGGAAAACAAATCAACTGACATCGATTGTCGTCAGTGCAAACAAAGCGGAACAAATTTTTAATTAATTTGGTTTGTTTTTTTTCCACAAGGAAAAAACTAATGTATTTTTATGCGTATCTTCTATTTTTATGTTCTGATATATTTTACTGCTAAAAAAGACATTACTTTCAAATATGTGCCCGTCTACGATCAATACAATATTGTTGGGCAGTATTGGTTTCTTTGATTGATATAAACAAATGCAAGCTCGTTAAAAGAATGTGTTAACTATTCGTATGACACTAATATTTTGAAAAAAAAAGAAAAGCAAACATTATTTGACTAGAATCAATTCGAAAGAGAAGACGTTTACAATCTATACTCAATATATTTTGATTAAATAGAAAAAATAAATTCACAACATGATAATATAGAGAATCTTAAGACAAATAAATATGTATTATTTACTCACACAAACACTACCAGTACCTTCGCATACATTCACAACAAAATAATTCAAATAAACCTTCGATTTTTCGATCTGAAATGTGTATACGAATGTTTCATTTTACTTAGATGACGTTGATGATATAAACTTTTTATGGGTATCTACAATGGTAGATTATATCAAATTGAAAGTAAGTGAATATTTTCCTCTAATCGAACTATATTAATCACAATTTATTGATATTATAAAATCAAAATTTCTCATATTTCATATGATGAATGCACTTGATGATAAATATACTCCATCTGTTATCATTTAGTTTATCGTATTTTTTTTTAAATATACTCTATGACATGAAATGAAGAAAGAAAGAAAGCAATAGAAGATTTGCTTTCTTCTTTTCTTTTCTGTTTTTCATTTTATCATTCTATAGTCACGCGCATTTTTCTCCTGACCGTTTGTGCTTCTTCATCATTTTGTCTGTTGTATACATGTGTTCATCCGTCCGTCTATAAATTTCTAAGAAGAAACTCAATGTGAAACAAATAAAAAGAAAAACACTTCATTCCATCTTTATTATCCTGTGTACATATTGTATCCTATTACTATTATTATTATTATTTTAAAAAATGCAACAAGCTTCACCGATAAAAGTTATCTATGATTTAGCTCGACGAAATAAAGTATGTTGAAACAAAAAAAAACAAATTTTTCCACGTATAAAAAAAAACACTTCTATCGATATAGATATTTGTTGAATATCGATTGGAAAAAGAATCGGGTCCAGCTCATGCAAAACTATATACGATTCGACTTTACGTGGGCGATAAAGACTATGTTGGTTCTGCGCGTAGTATCAAATTAGCGCAACGTACAGCTGCTCAATTAGCTCTTGATGATCACCGAAATCAACTAATCACACATAATTATGATCAAGATATGTCACCAACAAGTGGTAAGATTTTTGTTCCATGAGTAATTAAGTTTATAATGAAATACAGGTAAACGAAAAATTTATCGATATGAATAATAGTCGAAAAATTTTGACAAATGTAACAAAAACTCATTAGCTAAACACAAAATCAAAACTAATAAGTAATTACTTTCCTAGACATCATTATTCTTAAGATAGAAGCAAAAGTAAAATTAATATTAATTTTTTTTTCAATTCATCTTTTTTATGAAAAAAAAGAAATTGAGTTTGTAATATCCTTGAATATCTTGCTAGATTTAAAGCGAATTTTAATTCTCTTCTACTTAGAAAGTAACGCTTTACGCAAACAACGTCTCAAAGAAAGTTCACTCATTACTATTGAATTAACTATATCATACAAACTGTAGTACCTAATAATGAACTTTTGAATAGGCTTTTGTTTACATGAGACATTAGGTTTGATCGTGTAATGTCATTTCAGAAAAATATGTAGGTCTAATAATTATAATTTTAGAAACAAGTTTTTGTTTTTATCTTAAATACATAAGAATCTTTATCATGGCCTTCAATTTTACTTATAGCGTCTTGCGTCGGTTTTTTTTTATGTCACTTTAGCTTGTTTGTGTACCTTGGCATCTTTTTTGTATTACTATAATTTTATCGATTAATTTTCGTAGACTCCATATGTTATAACGAGAGAAATGAATATGACTAACAGCAAACATAAAATCTTTTTGTCTTTCGCATTGATTATATATCCTTCTATTTTGAGGTGTATCAGTAGAAAACACTGTCTCGTAATATTGAAAGTAAGTAGTAAAGAGATACTTTAAAAGTATATCATAAGTCTACGAATTGACTTTGAAAACTTTCTTGATTATTTTGATGTGACGTGTTCGAAGTTTCAAAATATATGTATTCTGATAGTGTCAACATTCTAATATGAAATTTTACGTCATGGATGAAAGAAAATAATCTGAAGATTTTATTCATGACTCAATCAATTAATTATCAAAAACCATGAAATCAGTATTTTATGTATTAACTCGCTTTTATTGGTAGATTCGTTATTGAGTATGATACTTATCTGTTTATATGTTAGCCAAAAACTCGCTATAAAATATTGGATCTAGCATTCGTTAAAACTAAAACTTTTTATAGTTGAATAAGGACAAATACTTTCTACGTCTCATTATTGTTGAGCATATGTTTTCATTCGTTTGCTACTCATTATGCTAGAATTAAAAACAATATCAAAACTAATATTATAATGAACCTTTTTCATGGTTTGGTTGTTAGCCACGAACATACATAAAAAAGTGGTCATACTAGGTTATTTGTTGCCAAGGTCGGTCCGTTCTTTCATCTATCTTCCTCAATCCCCTTGTATGTTAACAAGAAGATTGAGAAAGATAACATAAAGAAGGAGCCACAGTTGACAACAAATAAGCTAGCATGATTACTTCTTTTAGACCTATTAAGGAAAATGGCCGCATAATAGTATCAAGACAAGATTTATTATGTCAAAAATAAAACCTTATGAACGCAACATATAAGAGAAGCCACTATTTTTTTAGGTTTCAAATATGGATGTGTCCGAAGAGAAAACTCACATCATACCGTTCATTTTTAAATCAAGTGACTTACACTAATCCTCTTTACTATATCATTTTTGCATGTTTTCATAATGTAGCCAATTTTTCTCTCTCTGTTACCGCATGCCGTATTGCGGGCAATTTTTCCTTTCAATTAAGGAAAAATGTTCACAATGAAGAAGACATGCAACAAGCAAACCGTGGATAAGGTTCATTATGAACTTAAAAGAAATGTTTTTTTTCCCTTTATTATTTGAATCATTAACAAAGCTTATTATTTATCCACGATAGAATTATCTCTGTATAATATCATAGTTTGGAATATTTTAAAATTTGATAGAATAATCTTAACCGCTCAGTATGTAATCTAAAAAAAACTTTATTTTATTTAAGTATTTCAGTCACCAACTGTTGCATTAAACACATGGGCTAATCGAAATCATATTTCAACGCATTATGTCTTACTCAATGAATTATTTAAATCAGCATCATCAAATCATCCTCGTAATTTTTTTTATTATCGTCTTTATCTCGGTCATAATTTATATTTTGATGGATATGCTCATACACATCAAAAAGCTCGTATTAATTGTGCACTTAATGCTTTATATTTTCTACGTCAAAATCAAGTATCATCACCTATTTCAAAAAGAAATCATCAAACAAAATCTGACATATCACTTATGTATGAACGTGCTAAACAACTTGGTCTTTCTGTTTATATTAAATTTGATGATCCATTTACAGTTACATATCATATTGGTGAAAATTATTCAACAATTGGCAAAGGTTATAATAAACAATCAGCTAAACAAATAGCTGCTAAAAAAATGTTAGAAATTTTACCATCACATAATATTCAACAAAATCTGAATCCGATTACACGTATTTATCAATTAGCTCAACAACGACAAGTTAAAATTGAATTTATACAATTATTTAATAGAGAAAATATTACTTTTCAAATCAAACTTGGTGATAATGACATAGCTGAAGGTTATGGTAAAACAAAACAAATAGCTAAACAAGCTGCTGCTGAAGCTCTACTTGAGAAATTAGATTCTATTGTTATTTTACCACCACCGCCAGTTAAAGGTTTACTTAAACGAGATGGAAATAATGATAAAATAAATAAATCAGAAAAAAAACATGTACATTTTGTTGAAGATATAATTGAAAAAGACGAACAAACATTTTCTTTTCAGTCCTCACCAACAATTTTAAATTCATATAAACAAAAATTAATTGAAGCTTGTCAAAAATTACATATGCATATTGAATATTTAGATAAAATGGTTTGCTAAAAAAAACCAGAAAGAAATTTTATTTCTATAGAAATATGTATAATTTTAGAATGAAAATGAGAACACTGGTAGTTCACGATATCAATCAATAGTTAGTTTATCAACTGATGATCGTCTTCTTGCACAATTTCGTGGTCATGGTCCATCATTAATACGTGCACAAGAAAATGCTTCATCAGCTGTTTGGAATAATTTAAAGCAATTACTTAATGGATCTATTCAGGTACCAAGATCAATAAGAAACGAGAAATATCGGCAAATTTCCCTTCAACAATAATAGAGAACTTGTTTGTTGTGATATTTATCTTTTCATTTTCTGTATTTGTTTTGTTCACAGTTTAGAAAAAAGTTTGAATGACTGTGTATGTAATAGAAAAAAAAACAAAAAAACTTGACAGATTTTTACTGTTTGTTGTTCTTGGTTTTTGATGATTCGTATATTTATTCTGTACGTTTTTAAATATAAAGAAGTAAAGTTTAAAACAAATGAAATGTTTGATGTATGAATTTTTTTAAAAACAACATTGAGTAACTATGGAAAGACTTTCACTGAGCACAAAAAGAAATAATAGCGAATTGATAGGCTTTTCGTAGAATCAAAAACAAATGAGCGCTGGATAAATATTTAAAAAATAGAAACAACTAGAGATGTGGGCGCTTATAAGCATTTGATTAACGAAAGGTTAGAACGTAGTTTTATATAGAGTAAATTATATTTAAAAATATCTAATTGGAAAGGTATAACAAATGGTGATATCACGGTTTTCACTGATTACCAAACTATTCGTCATGAGTGTTGATGTGAATAGAGATCCTTATTGTATTATCATCCATGATTACTGATATACTTACACTCACACACCAACATGGAAAAGATTACATTTGTCACATGAAATATATTATTTTGTAGAGAATTGAATAGAAAGTCTTTGGGAAAAAAAGAATAGCTCGATAGAATGAAAAGTAAAAAAAGATTATGCCCAAAATAGTGAGACTGCCATTTATTCTGCTGCATTGTTTATGATCATTTTATTCAAAATATCAGATAGGCAAACTTTGGATTCACATTCCTAGACACGATGTTAATCACTATCATTTTGCTTTCGAAAATTATTCTTTTAAATATTCTTGCAATGAATAATAAAATTCAGTATGTCAATGTTTTCGTAATTATAAACAGTTTGAATAGATATATAAATATGCGATATCAGCTTGCTTTCATATCAACAGATCGCTAGTTATTACAGTTGTCATTTAAATAATAATCACTACTATTGAATTGTGGCGTTGATACTAACATTAAACAAATCAATGTTTTATTGATATCGAATAATTATAAACAAACAAGGCGTCATTGAAGAAAAGAACTAAAGAAATTTTTACCCAAAAAGCAAAAAAATGCAAAAAACATAAATTAGCTATTTTATTTCGATTTGATAATTTTCATATGCTTCCAAATAAAATACTAATCTGTCTTTTGATTTACATAATACTCAGAAAACAAAAATAAGTAGTCATTTCATAAAAAATTATTTTATTTAAACATAATTAAGAATCGAACTATCAGACACATCAAATTCAAATTGATTCTACCCACTATAGCATCTATTATTGATATTAATATTGCTCGACAAACACAATGTTTATCTAGTGCTGATATGTTTGATATAATTCCTCAAGAGGATAATAGACGAACAGTTCCGATCAGATAACTTTGTAATATGGTAGGAACGTAAATGTGAGAGGAGAGATTGTCAAAACTCACATCCAAAATTCTCGTATTCAATTATAAATGTGTAGCATTCGATAAAATGATGATTTTCCCAACGGACTACAATTATTGATTCAAAACCAATGGAATCAGGCGTTTGGAGGTTTTTCGTTTACAGCAATGAAGAATTTCGATTTGAAATTCTATGCGACAGATAGTCAGTCCAACCCTGCCTGTCGATTGTTAAGTGTTACTCGAGCTCTGTTGACAAAACGTGTCAACTACTTAGATAACTTCAACTTCGAGTGGAAGCTGTGCATCTCTGCCGTGAGATTTAGAATAAGAACTAATCATATTTTAAGATTAGACATCTAACAACTGCAAATAAAAAAGCTATCTAATTAATATTCATGATTTAATTAATTACAAAGAAGTCATTTTTATCGTTCCAATGAAAACTTTATTTTTCATCTCTATCTCTTTCCTCATATTATTAGCCGCCAAAACACAACAAAAAAAAACATTTCTTACGATCGTTCTACTAATCTCGTCACAATTTCTAATCATAAAAAAAAGAAAGAGAAAATCGAGATAAAAATAAACCCAAAGAAAAAGTATTTACAAAAGAAATAAAATTTTTATAGACAGATGTGCTGCACGCATCGCATGATACAAAAGAGAAGAAAAACCATATAGAACAGTGCAGAGAGGAGCACACATGCAAACCTGAGAAGTGAACAAACAAACACATACACACAAGAGAAACCGGATCAGAAGTGAGCAATATATACATGTATTCATAAACTACTGTTGTTTTCAAATTATTTCGATGTATTCGAACAAGATCGAGATGTTAGTCGAAAAAATTGAAAATGTTTTGTTAATGCGCCTTTTTTGTTATTTGAATATTGTTGTGAATGTTTTGGTGAGATTGAGCATGGTGAACTTCCATCCATAGATGATGTTGGTGATGATGAATATGATAATTGGTGTTGTTGTTGACTTACATGATTTATTGATTGACTAATTATAGTTGTTGTTGATGATGTTTTTCTATTGTCATAGTCATTTAATGATGATGATAAATGTTTGAAACAATCGATATCATTTTTGGGATTTAATTCATTACGTGGTATAGATAATTGACGAAAATCATCACGATTATATATTGTATAAACTGTACATTTATCAAACATAGATAATAAACGTTCAACTTCTTTTCCAGAACGACGAAGAACAATAATACCTTCGATTGCATATAAATATTCATTAGCCTTTAAAAATCAAAATAGAAAAGGCATTAAAATTGTCTTACCATATTTATTTTATTTTCTTACTCGAATTCCAGATGTAAATGCTGAACCATATGGATCAAGTCTTTCAACGTAACATGGACCTTGGCCTTGAAGAATCAATCCATAACCACGACGATCACGTTTAAGCTAAAATGAATAATCAAATAAGTTTCAGATACTAACAAGAGAATTCGATGATCGATTTCTATACCTAAGTACGTCTTTAAAAAAAACTCACTAATTCAATTTAGTACTGGTTAATATATACAACAATGTTTATTTACTATGTAACAGTATATACTCAATATTTGATAGAAGAAAGATGAAACTGATTGATAAATTTATTATTACATAACGGATGCACCAGAATAAATGTTTCTCTAACAACGGAGTCTTCTCAATTGAAAAATCAGTGGACAATAGATTATAGACTGTGCTGGTTTCGAACATGAGCATGAAATTTGATGATAATAGACCTTCCAAGAGGTGTTTTTGTGGCAAACTAGTTTTCTAGAGCGACAACTTTATTCGCTAACTTAATTTTCTAATCTGTTTCAATTGCAGAAGAAATCGAGTTTTGTATTAAAAAAGAACTATTTTTGACATTTTTAATAGGTAAATTAGGTAGCAAGAAGCCTTGCAGCTTAAACAGAGAAACGACGACTACAATCTCGTATAACAAATAGATGGTTTCTTACAAATTCAGTCACTGGAAGGCTTTTCGAATGTAGAAATAATGCTTCTCATTTAAATTTGTTTTGTGTATATGCAGGTGTGTTGTATGGAGGTGTGTGATGTGGAGACGTGAAGGTGTGGATGTGCGTGGAGGTGTGAGAGAGCGTGTACTTGGACATCAATGGTTTTCTTCTCACTTCACATTCGGCACACTTTAAGATTTGACACAATGGATGTCTTTATTTATTGTACAAAAAACAAAAGAAATAAATTCAGAGTATTACGTTTCGGTTCTCCCGAATTCATCTGAAAAAAAAATCATTAAAGTGAGAATCTGTCATGCTGACTTCACGAATAGTGAAAACCTATGTAAGAATAGGTTGGTTAAACTCTCACTAGTAGTGTAGAAGGACAAAATTACAGATTCAATTTCGGTTTAGAATCCATCGAAAACAGAAAACTTGTTTTCTTGCGTTTTATTTAGCATTTAAAAATTTCGAAACAAAAATTTTATACACAACTTGATGTTCTCTACAATCACAACGGATCAGAAAATTATTTTAGCAAAAAACAAGTTTCCGCTCTAAACAACTAGCTTTCCACAAAACTAGAGCTTGAAAGCTCTATAAGCAAATTTCATGCTTATATTAGGAACCAACACGATCAATAACCTACTGTCTACTGAATTTAAAACTAAAAACAGTTTTCAAATTGAAAAGGCTTTCTCGTTACTGAATCATTCTTTCTGATGTACTTATTCATTTGTAGAATCATTTAACAGCATTTTACAATAAAATTCTAAGCAATACACCATACATGTTACATTAAAACTTACTGAATAACTTCTCCAACACCACGGTAATTCTCGTCGTTCAAGTTCATCAGCAGTTGGACGATGTTCTAATGTAAACGCATAAGAGATTAGTGGGCTTTTATAAAAAATTTCATGTTTACCAGAATTAGCTGTTGAATTAAGACTTGCAGATTTTTTTCTTTTAATATAACTTGTAGAACATGATAATTTTGTTGTAGAATCATTTTCATCACTATTCGAAACTTTTCTTGTTGATTCATTACTATTGATTGAATTACTACTAATTGATGTTCGAATATTTTCATTTAATATTGGTGATTGTCTTGTTTCATATATATCATTTTGCATTAATGCAATTAAATCAAGACGTTGTTTTGATGTTAAACGATGTGAGTTACTTAATATATATTGATGATGATCATCATTACGAAATTTTCTTGAACAATTACATTCTGGTTCTTGATCGCAGTCATCTAAATAGATTTTAAATTATTAATTCAAACTTTCAAAAATGAAATAAAATCATCCTACTAAATCGAACAAGACCATACACAATCATATCATCAATAAGACGTTCAATATTTAATATATTTGTACCACTACGTAAAGCAAGCATTCCAGCTAAATTATCACCTTTAATTAATATTCCTGAGCTTTCATCATATGGATTTTTGGAAGTCTGTTCTTGTTGTAAATCTACACCACGACATTGACTTTTATCAAGTGTAAATAAACTATACCAAAATAAAACATCGACTTTTAAAAGAAAAAATAACTTTTATTTAAATTTACCTTGTATAAGTTTCATAAGTAGAAGCAAATTGTTGAAATGAATGATTTTGATCAGCTGTACCATCATCAAGACGAAAACGATATAAATACTTAACATTATTATGTGATGATGGTACTAAAGGATATTCAAATTCATTAAAATCACAAACTAAAATAAAAAAAAGAATATTTTGATTTCTATGTTCAATATTAAGACTATTTGAAATGAATGATATCAAAGAATTCAAGAGTAACAATTAGGTTTTTTATCACAGATTCTAAATATTTTTCTTTTTATTTCGTTGAAACAACTCCCGAGTATGTGTAAACATCTTGAAAAGTTTAAAAAATGCATCGCCACTCAGAGTCGTGAAAAAAAGACACAAAAAATGTAGCAACAACATTTTTTACTCTTCTACTGAGTTGTCTATTGTATTAACTTTGACAAACATTAATGCAATTGACGCCTTACTTTTTTTTAATAGAAAGAAACGTTACGTTTCTGCCTTGTTCATATCAAAAATTATTCAAAAAATATTTTGAATAAAAAAAATGGACAATGTGATTGTAGTCGATCGACATACTGTTTAGTATCTAAGAATTTTTTTTCTCATATAGTTCACTGCAAGAAATACAAAATAATTTGTTAGTAAAACTTTCGACGAGCTTTTATTGTTTCGTAATAAGTTGATGACCTTGTGATCGAACAATACTTCATTTGACCATCTGTATATCTCATTCAAATGCTTAATCAATAAACTTCCTCTGATAATAATGTGTAATACATTTTCCGACTTACTGAACTTCCGATTAACTTTATTTACTTTATAACTATTTGGCACTACCACATTATTAATATACGAGTGACCATACACTTTGTAAAGGTCACTTCACTAATAGAATCCTTAGATATTTTTCTTTTAACATTATTTCTTCGAAAACGAATTCACACCTTTCTTTGTGTTTATATTATTTTTCTGTGTAGAGTTCATTAGGTTTGAAATTTTCGTACTAGAAGCTTTTTTGAACTCTATTATATGTAAGTCAATTTTCTGAGTAAAGAAAATAAATCGAATATGAGTAAGAAAAAACTGTTGATTTCCTCTTGCCCTCGAAGTTTTTATTGACCTAGATTGATTTGTTCTCGTTTCCGCTAACAGATGCAAATTCAATAAATGAGAAAATATCTATTTGGCATAATGCCAAATAACAGAACCATCTTTCTGCTTACCATGGTGAATGATTTTTAATTTTTCCAAAACTTGAAATATTTCCAGTCCATCATCAATTGTTTTACATAATTGTCTTTTTATAAGCCAATTAATAGTTTCATATGAATAAAAGCAATTATGAAATAATGAATATAAATTATTATTATTGTTTTCATCATTAAAATAAGCTGAATATGTACGATGAATTAATTTTTCTTCTTTCATACGTTGTCTTAAAATAATAAACAAATAAATAATACGTAAATAAAAATATTTTGTAAATATTTCTACCTTAAATGCAATGCTGCTGTATACAAATCAACAAAATATTTTATATCGTCATTATCTCGAAGATTTGATTCATAAATATGTTGATGATTATCACTATTTTGAGACATCGATTTTTCACTAGTACCAATTTGACACATTGAATTATTTCTTGAATGATTATTTAATGCTACAAAAGAAAAATAAAAGAAAATACGTGTGTAGCGTTCTTTCTTTTCATTCAATGTCTTTCGCCGACAAGAGGAGAAGGGAAGATTCTATGGTTTTTTCCCCTTCCGCTTATGTTGAAGAAAGAGAACAAAAAAAAAACAAACCGATTAATCTCTTCTTCCTACCCTTATATTCATCTTTACGCAATAACAACGATATTAGATTTTTTTTTCTTTCTGTCCCTTGAATTTTAACAATTTTATTTCATAGATTATATACAGATGTAATCAAGGTAATAGACATATCTTTGCTTCTGTCTAGTCATTCGTCTCGACAGTCATTTGTATTTATTCATAATTTTCATTAAAATGATGAGCAGATAGAAAGATAAAAAAATAAAAAAAAAATAAAATCAAGAGGTCATTTCGTACATAGATGACGACCAAGAAATTGAATGAGATAGATGCGCGAATATAAAGAAAGAAAAAAAAAAGTCAAAGTAGATCACTATGTTTGTTTTGGCATATACCCAAACAAATGAACAATGCATTTTAAAGAATATTATGAGAATTGGATTTGTATGTCTTCAATTTTTTTTCTGAGCTACTTACTGTGAGAGTTGCAATTTGTTATTAGTAAAAATGTGTATATTTTAATAACCAAAGAAATAGAAAAGGAAACGACTGGAGATGAGCCAAAGAAATAACAATACGATGAACAATGTATACTTTCTTTGTTTCTCTCGATTTGGCAATAAGCCAGATAATATATTAACCAACAAGAAAAAGAACACGATGTGAATGAATGTATGCTATATGGGAATAGAATATTTGTTGACTCTCAAGTAGTAGATATGTAGGATTGTGATGACAAGGAGAAACAAACGAGAGAGAAGAATGGAATAAGATAAGCAAATACAGTCATAAAAATGTGATGTCAAATAAAATAAAATCTACAGATTATTATACATTGATACAGACAAGGAAGACAAGTACAATCGAATAACTATTACTACCTTTTATCGATAAGAAAGACACTCTTGTCAAAAGAAGGACATGACGATGAACATTCGTCACTTAAAATGCCTTCCAGCATTCGAACATTTTATTTTCTTTTCGGTAGTCTTGTCTTTCTATGGTGAGCATATGAGAAAGAGTGTGTCTTCTGGCGCTGATTCTATGCCACTGTTAATATTTTCATCGTACAGGTATATAATTTTACCTTGAAATCTAAGTGACGCATGATGGAATAAAAAATTTGTATTTGACTATACATGATGACCTTGACCAAGGACATTCACTCATGTGTAAAGTAAAAGAAAACTGTTTATGTTTGTCGTGTTGTCACAATAAAAATGAAAAGAATTTTTTTTGTTGTACTCAAGTATCCACAAATATTAGAGCGAAATAGACGAAAGACACTTGTATGATTTCATGTCATCGAAATGAAGCGATATTTTATCATATTAAATAAGAAAGAGAAAAAGAAAAATTCTTTTCAGAATCGATTAGTGTGTGAATGTATTTAAGGTTCAAATTTCCTTGTATACATTTAAACAAAATGTATGGTATGTATATGTCGGTATTGATACTGTTGCAGATTCTACCATGAATATGTGTTGCATGATAGATGTGTTATTAATCTATTTATTAAACATTCTTTCAGTATTTTGTTTTTCTTGTATAACTACGTAGTACCGACTATGATAAACATACAGAACTTACACATTTTTCTATGTCTTTTTTCATGAGAATTTCTCGATTAGCCATTCTTAGAGAATATATTTATAGATCAATCGATGATTGAGAATAAAATGGGTAACCCTGAAACGAACTGATCGACATTAAATCGATTCGTGATCGCTAGATTTTAAGATTTTCATGCCTTAAACTCCAAGAATAGATATTTCTATTTCATAATATATGACAAAAAATATTCGTCATTCGTTTTTGCAGAAAAAAAAAATAACGCACATACTGGTGGGTAAATTGGAAACACGTTTTCAAAAAAAGAAGTATTAAGTTCGTTAAAAAAATGTATTGCAACGGAACTCGGTTGTCATAGTTAATGTGTGGATGTTGTATCACAAAATGTGACAAATTTATATATTAGCATATATCTAAAATATACTTTCAAGGAGACAAACAATCGTCTATTTTATCATGGATCGTAGACGAAGAAAGGACGCGACAACCTTCCGTATTTGGATATAACCTTGATGATAAAAAGATAAGTAGGTCCATTTGTTTTTTAGATTCTTTTCTTCTTAGGTCAAGAATACATTGCCAAGTAGGAATAGATTGTCTGATAAATTCAATAAGAAGAAACTCTTTAATTCGCTTTTCTTTACAAAGATAACAAGAAAGCCGAAATTATCTGAGAGATAGAAACTTGATGACGTATTCAATCAAGTTACTTCTCATAAAAATCAGATACTAGCCAACGACAACAACGACCGTAGACTTCACATATGTGAAAGATCATTTACTCTGATGACATATATAATTTCGGCAACGATCTCAAAGAGATTCGTACCAATGACCTATCTCAAATACACAGACGCATGAATAAGAAATTCAATTAAGAATCATTTAAAGCGATTGTCATACACTCATACACACTATTGTTAAAACTAAAATAAGTATAATTATCTTTTCTATCACTCGTATTAAAACATAGTTACGATGTCATTCACTATATATATCTATATATATAGATATATATATGTGTTGAAAAGACAAATTCATACACATATACACATTCTTGTTTCTTCTCAAGGGAAATTACCCAAGGCATTGCAAGCATTTACATTTCAATGAATGGGTGTTGGCTTCATTCCATCATAACTGTTGAAAAAAAAGGCGGCACGCAACAGAAGGAAGTGTGTATGCGTCTATGTTCGATGCACTTAAATCTACTGTAGAACGAGAAACAACAAGACAATCAAACAGACAGATGGATGCGAGAACCTTAATTTTGTTTTCTTCGCGCACTGTTATTATTTTTTGTTGTTTCTCATGCAGCAAACAATAAACAGCTTGAAATACAGACGACTGCATATATTCTATTTTCTCGAAAAGGTTTCTATGAAAACAATATTAACGATACAATAGTAAAAGAAATGCGCAATTGCCATGCTAAAATCTATGAAAGAAAAAGGAAGAAGCAGGTGTAAAAGAAAAAAAACAACATATATATCTACGCCTTAACATGCACATTACTTACATGTTTTAATATAACGACACAAAATGAGCTGCGATGGAATAAGAATAAAGAAAAAAAAACGTATTACTGAAAAAATGAAGTGACATATAATTGTGTATATGACGCAAATAGAGTCATACGAGATATAAGTATATTAATGTTTGTATTTTTTTTTCTACACTACGCACTTTAGTTACAAATCGTATTGTTATTCCTTGTTCTCATTCTCCTAGTGACCATCTGTATAGTTATTCATCAATACATTTTTTTCTTCATATAAACATAAGTCAAAATAATGCCGACAGATAATAAAAGAAACAATATTTATACTAACGTACTTACCATAATGTGTATTTATGAAACAATGAAAGTCTTTTTTATAATTACGATGTGTCGTTTGTCTCATGTGAAATGAATGAAAACTACTGAATGAATATGAATTCACCTTTCTTTTCTTTTCTTTTCTTTCTTCATACTCTCTATATCGGTGTCTCATGCTCTTTTGTCAACAGAGAGTAGTCAGTCAGTAGTAGTAAGTAACAACAACAAATGAAAAAATGAGAGAATGAGTACGATGGTCGAGAATTAGGTGACGAGCGTGAGTGCATGCGTTTGACGTTGTTGTTTTTGTAGTTAAAGCAAACGACGCAAAAACTAACACACACACACATAGAATATGAGAAAGAAAAAAAATCCATGTTGTCTTTCTGTATTTTTAAGTCATCTGACTCAATATATGACATCACATTTCATTAAAATCAATTGAGAGAATACTGTTTTTCTGTTTTCAATGGAGCAAAAATATTTCTAAACATTTTTTTTTCTTATATATAATAGACTTTTATTGAAATATTTATCATTCTTAAAGAAAAGAAACTAGTTTGGACAAGTCGAATATAAAGAAGGTTATGCCTGATATAAATTTCATGGTATTTTTAATTGCTTCTGATGCATATTTATGTCAAGGACATGTAATTATAATTTCTTTTATTCTTGATCCGTCTTATTTTGAAAAGCATACATATCACATCTTAGGACTGAATGTACTAATCTCGACATCACCGATTATATATTACGTCGTATATTTAATGAATATATGTTCTTCATCATTTACGCATTATTCTTTTTCCTGTAGTAAATTAATTAACAATCGAGACATTACAATATATATACAAAGTCATTTTGGGAGAGGGTATAGAATATCTCAAGATGGATAAATGACTGACAGATGGTTAGTCAATGATTTGGAACATAGAGAACACACTAGACAATGTCACTTCGTCATGCGAAAGAAAAGATGATAATAGTTTGAATAGTTCTTAACGATTGACTGCTATTCATTATGTTAGCTACATTAATGAATATTTTTGTGGTCAAATGCCGACTATGCACAAAATGGACATTTTTGCACAATTAGTAAAATATGTGTTTATTTATTTATCTATTCGAGAATGAATATAGCCAGAAACAAACTTATTGGGTTAATAAAAATGTTTGAAAGAGAAATAATGTATTTGATATCAAATATGAGATGAATCAAAATAATTACAACATTGGCTATTTTATTTAATATTTTAAGGAAGACTAAGTTCAAATCTCTACAAGAATAGCAATGAAAAGTTCCATTAATTTTCTCATAAGGTTAAAACTGAAGAATTGTATAATGATCAAATATCTTATTATTTTTGAGAAAAACAAAAGAAAATGAAAATAACATTGATTATTTTGGATTTATCTCACCAAAAATAAATCATAAAAACACTAAATCACTTCTTTTTAATATGCA